GAGGGGGGGGGGGGGTGCAGCCGGCGGATTTTTTGTGTGCTGACCCTCCGATGGTCTTTATCACCTGTCTTCAGCCTACGTGTGATTTTTCCTCGGTAGAATGTTCTTTTTTTACAGCACCGCCATTTTTTGTACAGGGCCCGGGCCGGCCCTACGCAGAGGCAGCAGCAGCACCACCACGTGACACTTTAGGTGAATGCTGTTGTTCTCTCCCTGCCTCAAGAAACAGCTCCAGCATGCCGAACAACGTTTGAGGGAGGGAAAACCTTGTATGCGTGCATGTGCGCTTTTGGTGATGGCCGTTTTGGTCGTCGGAGTAGAAGAAGACAGTTGGGGAAAACCGGGGGGTCATCTGCACAAAATGCTGGTTGTGTGTAGCTGTCATGTGTTTTTGGTGTGCGGGCCGGCCTTTTGTAGGTTTGGTTTCGACTTGAATATTCGGTTGTTGCAATAGGGTGGACGGTTGGTTGTGAATCGGTATTTTGGAGGCCTGGCGTGCGTTCTGTTCTTTTATGGACTGGTGTTCAACGGGGGGGGGTCCAAAACGATACGTGGTAACAAGATTAATACCTGGCCGCCTTATATTGTCATGTTTTTTTCTTCAGTTTTCTGTTCTGTTCTATGTATACTGTACTCGGTATGATCTTGGTCGTCGGTCGTTCATTCTCTATGCTGTTCCTGCTGGAGAAGGTGAAAGTGAAACCGTCGGGCGTTTTCGCATGTTACAACGAACGTGTACCTTTTTTTTTTTTTGTCGTTTCGTCTTGCTGTGTTGGGCTGGTCAGTGCTTCGGTGTTCAGCTTTACGTAGCACACATAAGCCATTCGGGGTGTTGCGGTCGGTTGGTTTTCGAAGGCTGCTCTTGTTTCTCATGTTGTGTAGCTCACTGAGTACATACGTTGCAACCACCCACCTGCACTGCTGTATTGTGATCAGTGGTCACCGTATTATAGCGCGCGAAACAGGGTGTGCGGTGGTAGGGAAACGGACGCCTTCCTTGCCTTCCTTGTATAGAAATGACAAAACATTACTTGGAGAAGAAGAACGAGGGCACGTCTTTTGCGCATTTTATTCGACGTCCCGGTGCTTGATTGGGAGAGAGCACCATCTATCTCTTTATTTTGTTTTGCTTCCTTGCGGAGATCGCGTGACGGAGTGATCCTCTTGGGGTCATTCGGCTACATTTATTTCATGAAGCGAGTTCCTCGGCCCGACACGGGTCAGGGGGGATCCACGCAAAACGAATGGTACATCTGGATCCACCGGATGCTACCATATTCGTCAACGACGCTGCTGTACGTCGCATTTTTTCCTCAATGCGACTGCTTATAGACACACAAAGTACTCCTAAACGAACTCGAGTACTGGGTAATAGCCGGGTGCAGTTTTCTTCTGTTGCTGCTGTTTCTGTTTTTGATCCGAAGGATGGCTTCGCCTCCCCCATGCTGCCCCCTCACGGGGTCCCAGTTCATGGTAGATAAAAGTGTTTTGTGTTTTCAATCGCACTAAGACTGACGTCTTTTCATTGGTCAGCCGGTTAGCGCGGTCGATGCTAATAATAAAGCACACACGTGCTGCATATGATTAGCTCGAGTTCCAGCCAACATTTTATTCGACGTCCCGGTGCTTGATTGGGAGAGAGCACCATCTATCTCTTTATTTTGTTGTGCTTCCTTGCGGAGATCGCGTGACGGAGTGATCCTCTTGGGGTCATTCGGCTACATTTATTTCATGAAGCGAGTTCCTCGGCCCGACACGGGTCAGGGGGGATCCACGCAAAACGAATGGTACATCTGGATCCACCGGATGCTACCATATTCATCTACGACGCTGCTGTACGTCGCATTTTTTCCTCAATGCGACTGCTTGTAGACACACACGTGCTGCATATGATTAGCTCGAGTTCCAGCCAACATTTTATTCGACGTCCCGGTGCTTGATTGGGAGAGAGCACCATCAATCTCTATATTTTGTTTGTGCTTCCTTGCGGAGATCGCGTGACGGAGTGATCCTCTTGGGGTCATTCGGCCACATTTATTTCATGAAGCGAGTTCCTCGGCCCGACACGGGTCAGGGGGGATCCACGCAAAACGAATGGTACATCTGGATCCACCGGATGCTACCATATTCGTCAACGACGCTGCTGTACGTCGCATTTTTTCCTCAATGCGACTGCTTGTAGACACACACGTGCTGCATATGATTAGCTCGAGTTCCAGCCACTTGTTCGAGAGACAGAACTCGCAGTGGTTGGCTGCAAGAGTCTCACGGTCGGTCATGCATTTACCGGGCGGCGGGGTGATGATTGCGGTCGCTTTGACATCCTCGTCGTTACTGGCGAACCCTGAGAGCTCCAAGAGGAACATCATACGGTACTGCATACAATATACGGAGGAGGGTTTCCTCTTCATCACCGAGGAATGAGCACAAGGACAAGAAAAAAAAAACAAAAAACGCGGGCTCCTTTTCGTCGTTCGGGCGGAAATTCGCTGAATAAAAACACCCAAATAGTAGATTTCGCTTTGGAACCTTTTTATCCTCTTGTTCCTGGTATGGCAGGGTCGAGGTCCTTTGCCACACCTCCCGCTTTTATGGGAGCCATAACTGTATGTCCATCCCTTCTTGGTGACAAGGGTCTCGCGCACCGATTACTCTCACGCAAGTGTGTAGGAGTTTTCTCCCGTTTGATTGCGTCCGCCACACGTTGCTCCGCGTTCCACCCCACGCAGCAAACAATGCCTCCTTAGCCCCGGATAGCTATTGTAACAGATCCTACCCCGGGCTTGATGAATGGCGGATACTGCTGCGTATTTTCTTTCCCTTCACACCTCCCTCTCGGCCGTTGGTGCTTGCACCAACGAAAACAAGCGCCACAGACACACGAGGGTACTTATTTTCTTGTTTTCTTTCATAACTCGGTTTCACTAAGCGCTCACCGTATTTTTCTGCCGGTTGTAGGAGCTCAAACCCATGGTCACACATAAGACAAAGTGAGTCCCCCTACCCAACCCCTCCTGCGGCGGTTGCGTTTGGTTTGTGAATCCGAGAAGAGTGCAGCACACCGCTGTCTTCCCTCTCAAAGTTTCCACACGAAAAGCGCTTTCCACAGCCAGTAACGGAAGCGAGAGACTCGAGGGCGACAAAATCTTGCGCTATCTCCCACCCGCCCGAGAGGCACACACCCAAACGACAAAAGAACACTTGAAAACACAAACGAAAGCGGCCACAGGTCGAGGCTTTGCGTCCGTTCGCCGATTTTCCCTTCGCTCTACGTCCCAACCTTCTCCCACACGCAAGAACTGTGCCAAACGACGCAATCGATCACACGGTAGAAGCAGCCAAAGCCAAGCCAAGCATTGCCGACGTTGGGGTGGCAGTCGTCGTCGTCGTCGTCAACTCTCCCTCCCGAAAGCGAACCCAACCGATAACGACGTGCATGAACACCTACAAGCGAACCCAACAACACCAAATCCGAACAGATCGGAGAATATCTAGAGACATTGCCGGCGGCATGTGTGTGTCGATCATGTAGACTCCACGTACATATGAACAGCTCCGACCTTCATCAGAAGGAAGATGTAGAGAGGTTATGCTTTTCCCAGAAGCAAGGCGCGCGGGCGCCTGTGCACAACCGACAATGTCAACCAATACCCCTGAAGTATTGGACTCTTACGACGAACAATACCAAGGGACGCCAAAGACGTGAAATGTTGGTGCTGCATGGTGCGACGAAAATGCGCCGTCCACTGCCAACAGCAGTCAAGCGTTTGCCGCCGCCCAGTCTTCCAACCATTCTCGATTGCTCCAGTCCAGTGGGGCAACACCAACGCCCAGATCATTCCGCCTTCAAGTACGGAGGGCGTTTATGCGTGGGCCGTGGAAGGGAAGTCAGGGACGCAGAAAACTTGGGGCACGCGTTTGCGACGAAGGAAGAGGAGGGCTTCGACTGATTGAGTGCCGTATGAGGCTAACGTAAGGCATCGGGGAGGCAACCGACAGAAAGTAACGCCGGACATGGTCGGTCGATGCCCGGGCAGCCGTGGTAGGAGTACGTCGGCAATAAAGCAGGGGGGGGGCAACATGGGCAAGAAACGGGCCACGGTTGTTTTGAATGCGGCATAGCAGACTGTGAACGGTGGGCTTGATAATGAGACACTTACTTGTTCCCTGGGTTTGTGGCGAGACCCATCGAAGCAAACAGACGCGATCGTGTTCCGTCACCAACAACAACGACTTCACGAAGGCGACAATATCATCGCAATATCGACCAAGAAACATATGACCAAAATCAATCTGGAAGACACTCTTCGACAACATCAAGCCGACGCAAACGATGCAAACAAAACTCAATCTGGAAGACACTCTTTGACAACATCAAGCCGACGCAACCGATGCAACAAAACTCAATCCGAAAGACACTCTTTGACAACATCAAGCCGACGCAAACGATGCAACAAAGGCGCGCGCTGGCAGTGACCATTCCATCCTCATGTCCAGGTCACAACATTACTCACCCTGACAGGTCGACGTAGTCGATGAGCGGTATCGGGATTGTCGTTGTCGCTTTGAGGCTGGACCAATCAGCGAGCGGAGGGCCGCGGTCGTTGGGACGAATTGCACACGATGATAAGCACCAGAAAAAAATACCGGGTCGAGGAGGAACGGCTGCGGCTGACTCGAGGTATGTACGAGAGTGAAAGCTCGAAAAAAGTAAACGGAGAAATACTCCCCCAGTTTGGCTTCGCTTGCAGTTCGTAAGAAGACAACGGCACCAGCGGAAACCAACACACGCTGTCCATCCAAAGACCGACGTCTTGAAATTAGTAAGTCGGTGAGAGCCGAACCAATGCTAACGGAATAAAATCACACAAACACACACACACAGCCTCGTCACGACCATCACGGGCGGGCAGGCCAAGAACACATAGGTAGCACCGTCTATCACACAGCCTACATCCGGCAGACGGTGCCTACGACCCTTCGACGGCAGTGGTATCTCCTTGTCTCACAAAATCACAAATCTTTGCTTGGACAACGGGTGGGTACAACCTGGATTTACTGCTACACAGCACTACTGATGCGGCTGCGGATACTGGATTCCTGGGTGTTCACCTGAAGGAAAGCCAAGAGAACCTGCGAGCAGGACTTGGCTCCCTAGTGACTTCCTAGTGGCTTTCTAGGTTCGTACGAGGGCATGTTTGGAGCTAGATCAGTGAATGTGTTGCTATCTTGTTTGAGTCACCTAGCTGCTGACACGATGACTGTTGGATCTCGGGAGTGTACATCTATCAAATTGGGAGATGCAGCATACCACGATATCCTGGTTTCGGCTGGGCTTGAATTAGTCCTGCGCTTTTGCATAAGTGACTTCCTAGGTTCGGGCGAGGGCATGCGTGGAGCTATGGCAGTGTATGTGTTGCTATTTTGTTTGAGTAATCTAGCTGCTGACACGATGACTGTTGGATCTTGGGAGTGTACTATAATAAAATAGATGCAGCATACCACGACACCCTGGTTTCGGCTTGGCTTGAATTAACCCTTTTGCTGTCCTCCGCTCTTTGCATCAGTGGCTTCCTAGGTTCAGGCGAGGGCATGTGTGGAGCTATGGCAGTGGATGTGTTGCTTTTTGGTTGAAGTCATTTAGCTGCTGACACGATGGCTGTTGGATCTTGGGAGTGTACGATTATCAAAATGGCAGGTGCAGCATACCACGACACCCTGGTTTCGGCTTGGCTTGAATTAACCCTTTTGCTGTCCTCCGCTCTTTGCATCAGTGGCTTCCTAGGTTCAGGCGAGGGCATGTGTGGAGCTATGGCAGTGGATGTGTTGCTTTTTGGTTGAAGTCATTTAGCTGCTGACACGATGGCTGTTGGATCTTGGGTTTGTACGATTATCAAAATGGCAGGTGCAGCATACCACGACATCCTGGTTTCGGCTGGGCTTGAATTAACCCTTTTGCTGTCCTCCGCTCTTTGCATCAGTGGCTTCCTAGGTTCGTGCGGGGGCATTTGTGATGCTGAGATGTGTGTCTACGTGAAAGAATATGTAGAGAGAGTCGTATTAGCATTCGCATCTAGCGCATTGCGCATTATTCGAATTTTGGCCCCCTTCCAGGGACCTTGATTTTACCCGCTGGCACTGACGTCTTTTCATTGGTCAGCCGGTTAGCGCGGTCGATGCTAATAATGAACACACACACACTGCTTCGCATCCCGTTCACCTATGTCATGTGTAGGGATGCAAGGTGCTACGTACAGTACGGACATAGCTACCGAGGTCAAGCCAGCCGGTAACCGTGGCCAATTTCACTCGAGAGACCACAGCGACAGCTCATTCCCCCACCTGCCGAGAAGCACCGCGAGTGCCCAGGCGGCTAGGCCCAAGCTCCAGTAACGGTCTTGCCTGGCGAAGTCTAGCGCCCCGGTGGAGAACAGCAGTCCCGCCCACACCCCCGCCAAGTGCCCGACGAAACTGTCACAAAAAAAAAAAGAGAGATTTGAGGGGAACAAAGAAACAATGGTTTCACATAAAAGCGGGTGGTGGCGTCTTCAAAACAGGGTCCCATTTCCCCAGCGCCTGTGCGTTCGTCGAGGATGATTTACATCCTCTCTGCACAATGGCGTCGACGGTAGATAAATAGAGTGAAGAAGAAGAGCACCAACATGGCACTCTTCTTTGCATGGGATCATTCATTAATGCATGGGGTTTTATGGTGTGAAGAATTATGGATGAGCAGACCACGACGATGAGCAAGACGAAGCATGTGGAGAACCGGTCAACGAATAGCAACAATCTTCGTGAAGACGTTTTCCTCGTCGCTGTTTCCGACTACACTGCAACACTGACGGATCCTGATTGCCCAGGCCCGTTGGAGCGGCAGACAAACACCGGGGAATCACCCACAGTCACCCGTGTTAAAAAATGAGCGATACGATAGCGGGGTGTTGCGACTCGACAGGGACGGCAAGGGACTAATGTTCCGAACAATCCAAAGCAGGAGCGACAGTGGCACACGCGCCCCCTCCCTCCCCTCCTTCGTTTTCCGTTGGCCTCTTTGTGGCCCCAAGCAAAAAAAAAAGTTACGCATACAACCACGTAATCCTCGCAGGCAGCACAAGTCGATGCAACCAAGAACGGACACACCCACCGACGCGCTCACAAGCACGCGTTTTGACAGCAGCACCAAACACACGACTGAATAGAGCAAAAACAAGCAAACAAACGAAAAAAGACACAGGATCACCCGTGATCGGCCTATGATCGTGCTCCCGCCGCGTTTGTCGCGCGCGCAAAAAAAACACAGCAAGACAAAAACAAAAAAACATGGAAGATGTACCTTGATTGGCGTATCAGAATTCGGACAACCACCAAGTTCACGACGACGCTCGCGAAACCGCTGAACACGAACCCCCCGATGTCTGGCGCCGGCTGTTTTGTTTTGTTTTTTCACCGAAGAAAAGAGGAGTCCCGCACCAAGAGCGCAGCCAGGGGGGCAAGAAGCAAGCATCAAAAATGAGCAGCGGGCCATGGCACAGAGGAGGGTGGGAGGCAACGCACGGATGGGGGGGGTGGTCGGAGAAAAAACTAGACACCAAAAACACGAATAGGTGAACGACGTTGCCACAAACACCACAACCTCCGTGGGTAATTGTTTCAACGACCGATCGCAACACGCGGCCGACGTTTAAATGATCAGCCGGTGTGTACGTGCGAGTTTCGGCGCCGCTTGCTGGACATAGATATGGCGCTCGACGGAAAAGCGTGCTCGCAAGAGGTAAGGGCAACCCCAGGGTAAGAAATACAATACTTCATATCGCTAACAGAAAGAGCACGTGGCGGACCAAGGCTCGTCCTTGTTAACCGCTCTGCAGCTGCTGCTGCTATTGCTGCAGGGTAACAAAACACCGGGTAACTCCTGAATATAAAAAAAAGGCAGCAAGAGCGCTCGTGGGTGCGGACCATCATACGTACGTGACCCAGCCTATCATGCGTGCCACGCTGTCAACGACAACGGCAACAACAACAACAACGACAAGTCCCCCAAGCCCTCCCTTTTTTTTTTTCTCTCACCGTGTCTGGCCTCAACGAGAGAACGACTATCCACGCGAAGACGACCCCGGAATATCCGCACGAAATCTCATCGCTTCTTTTTTTGTCGTTCCGGCGGCATTGAGGGTTGGTTCATCCCCACGCCAAGATTGCGGTGCGTTGTTGTCCGGCGGGAAGGTTTTCGCAGGGGAGCGAGAGGGAAGAAGGGGTTTCGACTAGAGAATCGGCGGCGAGGTGGGGGTGGCGAAGGGATATCTTACACGGTGATGTTTGTTGCTTGTCTTGCTCTGGCTCTTGGCACCATTCCTCCTCGTGGTCCAGTCGAGATAGACAGAAGACACACAATCTTTCGATCGAGGGTAGCCGCTGCGACGCACGCAAGCGATTGCTGCCACAGTATTTAGTGCTCAGAACAACTTGCTCGTTGCGAACGCCGAAATTCACCCCCCCCCCCAGCTTCTCAAGATTTGGCGGTGCGGCAGGAAAAAATCTACGTTATCTCCGACAACGTATCTGGGAGAGAGAACTGTCACTCTTTGAGAGTAGGGCTTGGCTGCTGTACGTACCATAAGAATTCAGCGTTCGTAAAAAACAGGCTGCTTGAGATGGTTCCTCGGCCCCTCCTGAAGGCTCGTCTATGCCCCTCTTGCCGTTCGTTTGGGTCAGGAAAAACTTCGAGGTGCGGTCATCTTCGGCCTTCCTCTCAGCGAGCAGGGCACACGGCGTGCGCCTCATCATCAGGGCGTGACATGGATGTACCAATCTCCTCTGAGCTGATGGTATTGGTGATAGTGTGGCAGTTGACGTGATGATCAACATGGAGACGTTACCACCCCACCCCCCAACAAACTGGCGCTAGAGCCCCATCGCAACAGATCACAAACACCATGCTGGATATAACAGCGTGACTGCTGCAGCACATCCATCTACCGTTTGGATATGGTTTTGGATATAGTTCTGTTACGTCTGAACGAGCCGGACGAGATAAGTGCAAATCGACACCGTCGTTGTTGTTGTTGTTGTTGTTGCCTTCACAAAAAAAAGCCACTCAAAGAAAAGAAAATTATTGCCTGATCGCAATCTTACCCCAAACAGGGCAAACACTCAACTAGCAAGCAGCAATGCAACTGTCCATAGATATGTATGGTCCAGCGGGACAGCCTTGCGGTCGTCTATTCGTTCTTAGGAGGCACATCGAACAAATTGAGAAAAAATGAAAAAACAAGCAACAGCAAATAAAGTAGGACTGCTGCTAGACGAAATTTGCACCCAGCGAAAACACGGCGAGACTCACACAACGCGGCCGGTTCTAAGCAGGGCGTGCATGAACATCTTCTCGAACACCTCAGCGAGGACAACGAAGTGTGCTGAAGCCAACAGGTAACCCCAAGAGCCAAGCTCCGCCTCAATCCTCCTGAGAAGCCCAGCCAATCGTTTTCGTACAAGAGAGAAAAAAAACGGCCGGGGCGGGGGGGAGCAACAGTGAGAGAGAGCAGGAGAGGGTGAGAGAGACGCACAGGAACACGCCGCACGTTCCGTGAAAAAACGCACCCTTGTTTCCCGCCTGCTTCGTATTGCTTGTGCCGTGTTCTCCGTAAGACTAGCAACGAGAGAGCCAAACCATCCAGAGCGAGGCTACACAGACGGTGGAATCCACGGAAAAAAAGGGCATGGAAAAGGTCGACAAGCCTACAGTGGAGAGCGCAACGGAAAACGATACAACGACGAAAGAACAACCCAACAACAACGACAAAGAAGCCTTAGCAAGCGCGTGGAAACCAACCCCGCTATCAAAAGAGCCCAAAAGCACACCCACCTGCAGGACCAGAGGGATGTGATGTTGAACGCGAGGTGCAGCAGCCCGCTGTGGGCGACGGCGGCCGTCACCACCCGCCACCACTCTTGCCGCACCAAGAGGTTCCGGTAGCTCGACCCCATCGAGGCCGCCGACACACGCCTCCTCCACATCACAAGGAAAACCTGGAAATCTCCGCCGCAGGCGCCGTTTGGGGTTTGTGTCGTAGAGGGGGGGGGGGATCTGCGTGACATTCCATCGTCGTTGTCGTATTTGTCGTCGTTTTCACATTTCGGGTTGTTCGAGGTAGATCATCGGACACACAAGGGGCGTTTGGTTGTTCGATCGTGTCCCCTTGGGAGACACGGCAGCGGTGATATCGTTTGCGAAACAATACGGAACATCAACGAATGGTCACGCATACTGGCGTCTGTATTTGATGCCGTAGACCTCTATCGCGTAAGGAACGATGTGCCCCACACAGAACATGAACGAATGATAATCTGGCTTCTTGCCAGATGCCGTATCTAGACCTTTGTCGCGTGCGAAACTATGTGCCAGGCTGGTATTTCAGAGAGAAAGGCGTTGGAGAGGTGACGCAGAAATGACATGAGTCCTTGCTCACAGAATATCAACAATACCGGGGGGGGGGGCGATGCAGTGGACTCCCGAATTGCACCGGCCATGGATCCGTGAAATCGCTTGCTGTGCCACTGCTGAAGCCCTGCCCGACGGAGTATGTAAAAATACCAGTTGGAGCGCGTTGGGCAACAAAAAGTCCGTTGGTTGAGAAAAGTCCGTTGCTTGTCTCACCGACATTTGTAAGTAGTTTATAGGGAAAACGACGCAACAGGGTATTCCCTGGTCGACAAGCGACACACCTGGGTACGCAGTCATTAACGGCAGTAAATGCACTCATATCATTGGTCAGCGCCCAATTTCGCCCCGGTGCGTCCGAAAAGGCGCAGGGTATACCCTGCCGTGACTACTTTTCTCAACAACTGTAGGGTGTTTTCGGGGAATGTATCCTGACCTGTCGGGAAAAAAGACCCTTTCATCAATCATTTCCCCCACAGGAATCTTCCCAATTCCTTTTCCCCTCCAACCATGGGATACCAAACGGCGAATCTTCCTGCCCAAAAAACACCATGGCAACGGGGCAGGAATCAGTTTTCGCCCCTCCGAAACAACACCAACCATCAGCTCTCCCGCTCTAAATCAACAACGGCCGGGCAATACCCCAGCACAATTGTTCCGTTTGGAAACATGCACACACGCGTACGGTACCCCGTGGACGACTGCTTGTTGCAGTCTATGCGAGACGCACGGGTCACGCTGTGAAAGCGAGACCGATCCAGCATGGTCGACATGAATATGCATGTGTGCGTGCGTGTGTTGTCTGTTGTGTATCTCAATTGCGATGTGCCGTGTGTGCGTGCGTGCGTCGTCTGTTGCGTCTCAATCGCGATGTGTTTCTTGCTTGAACTACTGCTGTAGCAGTAGCGGTCACGCTTACCAGCCCACCAAGCCGACCAATCAAATCAATCCATGTAAGAAGACGTCAGGCTTCAGCGGGATGAGCCGATGAATACAACGCGAGCACCCTTACTTCTCTCCACCGACAGGGAGGGTGATTGAGATGCACGACACAGCAGTGTCCTGCTGCTAGAGTAAGGATAAAACTTGTGTGTGCATGGTTGATGTCAAGGGCGTGTCTGTGTGCTGGTCCTGCCTCTCCCCTACATCCTCTGTGCGGGCGCGAGCTCGCCGCCTGCACGGCGCCACACATTGGCACATGCTATGCATGTCAACCATGCTGGATCGGTCTCGCTTTCACAGCGTGACCCGTGCGTCTCGCATATAGACTGCAACAAGCAGTCGTCCACGGGGTACCGTACGCGTGTGTGCATGTTTCCAAACGGAACAATTGTGCTGGGGTATTGCCCGGCCGTTGTTGATTTAGAGCGGGAGAGCTGATGGTTGGTGTTGTTTCGAAGGGGCGGAAACCGATTCCTGCCCCGTTGCCATAGTGTTTATTGGGCGGGAAGATTCGCCGTTTGGTATCCCATGGTTGGAGGGGAAAAGGAATTGGGAAGATTCCTGCGGGGGAAATGATTGATGAGAAGGGTCTCTCTTCCCGACAGGTCAGGGTACATTCCCCGAAAACAGGGTACAGTTGTTGAGAAAAGTAGTCACAGCAGGGTATACCCTGCGCCTTTTCGGACGCACCGGGGCGAAAATGGGCGCTGACCAATGATATGAGTGCATTTACTGCTGTTGATGACTGTGTACCCAGGTATGTCGCTTTTCGACCAGGGTATACCGTGTTGTGTCGTTTTCCCTAGTTTAAATGATCCTCCGTACACCATGCTCTCAAACCAAGAAAACTATTTCCACAGGTTCACTGTAGTTTCAAGACAAAATACAGCCGACACGGAGGGTTCTCCCAACAGATTTCTTTTGCCCAATGGTCGGAGTCCCGACCTGCAATGCCCTTGCCCTTGTGCCTTTTGTAAGAGGGCAGCATGGAGCAGGTAGGTGCGCGATGGTACGCTCAGATATGCTGGAGACTTGGATTGCTGTCGCAGGCTGCAGCTGCGGCTCGAATGATCCGCAACACATGGGCCCAAAACATTCGTCCTCTACTTGGACTGCTGCATTTCCGCCTTTGCAGTCCAAATCTACCGACGACAGAGGGCAAACAGGAAGTATCATAGCTCACACCACCATGTAGCTGCCTTTGACGATCCCGCAATGCAGAGGACTGGGGATGAATCAGTGATTTCGGTTGGATCCAGAATTGCGAAGTATTTGGACCTGGCTTGTGATTTTCGGTAGTAACAAGTAGTATGCATACGGCCTCAGCGATAAGATCTGAGCGTGTCAACGTGCATGTTGCTGCTCCGCGATGTCCTCTGCTCATGTGGCACTGACGGTCGGGACTCCGTGAGCCGGGAGGTCGTTCTTACAGTTACCTTCAGGTAGTAGACACCTACAGCTGGAGACAGACCCGATTACTGAATAACCACTTGCATGCCGGTCGCCCCGGTGGTCTAGTTGGTATCCTCGAAACCTTCTAGAGGTCAGGTCAGGGGTTGGAATCCCGGCGTAAGGCCCATGTTTATGGTCACCAAATCTTTGCAAAAATGTCTAAATTTTCAAACATTTGCGGATAAAGATTTTGTTTCACTTTTTATGGGAGAAAATCTTCGGCAAAATATTCTCGAAGATTTTGAAATGGGGCAAAAGTCGCTCGTTTGACAAAATGTTTGACAAACATTTTGAAATGGGGCAGGTCGCGAAAATGTTTGGGCGGCGGAAAAGGCAAGTAGCACCGCATTTTCGGCACATA